TCCTGGCCGAGCAGCGCCGCGCCGCGGGCGGCAGGGCGCCCTGCAGCCCCCGGCGCCGAGAGGGCCAGGAGGCAACAGGCGGCCTGGCCCTCCTGGGCGGCCTGGAGGGCTGCGCGCCGCCCTGTGCGACCGAGGCTCCTGGCCTCCCAAATGGGGGCCTCCTGCTCCTCCTCCTCCTCCTCCTCCTCCTCCTCCTCCTCCTCCTCCTTCTCCTCCTCCTCGTCCTCCTCCGCCTGTTCCTCCTCCTCCTCCTTCTCCTCCTCCTCCTCCTCCTCATCCGCCTCCTCCGCCTCCTCCTCTTGGCCCTTGTTGCCTCGAGATGCTGGTTCTTTTCTTCATGTCGGCGTTCAGCTTCTTCTGCTGCTCGGAGGTGTATTCTAAGGTTGTTGATCTCGTCGCTGACTTCGGCCTCGTTTTTCTCGATGTCGTTGGCCATGCGTTGGTTGTCCTCCTCCAAAATCCTGAGCATGGTGCCGAGGTCTCGCCCGACCTGCCCTTGTCCGCCTCCTTGGGGCTGGTGATGGTGTAGGCGATCTTCTTGGTGGTATGCACCTTTGTTGTTTTCCATGCTTCGTCGTCTGCAGCTTCCGTGTCGCTGTGTCGATCATCTCTGGCGTTGTTGATGTCGCGTTGCAGGGTGGTGAGCTCCTCGATTTTGCTCTCGATCTCGTTCATGTAGATCGCTATCTGTTGCTGGTGGATCTTGGAGTATTCGCCGGAGTCCTCCATGGTCCGCTTGGTGTTGTCGATCTCCCTCGCCTGCTGGGTCACGGGCATGCTGTTGAGGACCATCGCTTTGATGAAGGCAATATGTGTGATGGCGCCGGTAGTACTTAGGTAGACCTGCTGTGCTAGTTTTGATGATAGCGGCTGCCGTTTTTCGCTCCTCGGCGTGTTTGATATTTTGGCATTCATCCCTCAGCTTCTGGTCGTGTGGGGGGGGTAGCTCCCAGTCGTGCCTCTTGATGGCGAAGATGTTCCTCATGCGCATGACGTTGTTTATCGTGTCGGTGATGTGCTCGTTGTAGTTGTAGTTGCTGTTGTTGCTGCTGTCGTTGTTGTTGTTGCTGGTGGTGTTATTCTAGTTCTGGCTGTCATCCTTCTTCCTGGGCGTCTTCTCTTTTTCGGGTTGCGTCTTGCCCTTTCCCGTGTTGTTTGCCCTTGCTCTTCTGGTTGTTGCTGGCGGGATCCTGGTGGTCGTGCCTCCCATTGCCGTCCTGGTAGTTACCTTTCCCGTTGAGGTTTTGGCTCCAGGACTTGTCTAGGTGGCTTTCGGTCCACTGGCCGATCCAGTTGTGGTTCTTCCAGCGCTCGAGTCCAACTCCGATGACTGATGTAGTGGGCCTCGTTGTTGTAGCTCTGGATCGTGGCCGGCTCGGTGCTGATCTCCACGGTGCTTTCGCCGACTCCGATCCGCTGACAGTTGCTCTCCACGATGTCGCCATGGCTGGAACATGAGGTGGGTATCGCGGTGGTTGTTGCGTGCTGTGGTGCGCAGCAAGTAGTTGGCGTGCTATTTGGAGCTGGTGCTGGATGTCGTGATCTAGGAGTTCACGTGCAGCAGCGACTCGCAGGAAAACGCGCACTTTAGCTCGTTGTTCACGTAGCCGTCGATGCCACGCTGGATTGGCTGAAGTCGCAGCCGTGGTGTCTCCACATGGCAGGTGACCTGAAGATTTTCCCGAAACATGTAAGTGTACGGGTTGTAAGAATGGTGAAGGGTATAATGATGTGGGGAATGCAAATGACATGTGGGAAACATGTGTTTTCGGTCGAGGCTGGCCCCCTAGGGCTGGCACGCTGCCACGCTTTCTGGGCAACATGGCTCTCCTCCTCCTCCTCCTCCGCCTCCATTCCTTTTTCTTGTAGGTAACTTCTCCTTGTCGCACCCCGAGGCCAGTTTTTAGGGCGGGCCGGGCGTTTCGCCTGAGACTTCCTCACCACGTATGACTCTGAAACGTAAAACTTTGCAAGAGTTTCACTGATTGAGGGCGGGTCGTTTTCAAAATGTGGCTCTCGCCTCAGCGCGGCGCACATCCGTTAAACAAATTGCAAGAGCTTCACGGATTGAGGGCGGGTGGTTTTCAAAATGTGGCTCTCGCCTAAGCGCGGCGCACATTCGTTTTAAACATCTGCAAGGGTTTCATGTATTCCCATCATCAACGTGCGGGTGCAGCAGTTATGTTGCTTCGCTGTGTTGCAATCCCAGGAATGGCGTTCTGGCACGTTTCAGGATTGTCAAGACGCAACAGTCAGGTTGATCCGTGGCGTTGGAATCCCGAGAACAATGTTTTGGTATGCTTCAGGGTCTTCAAACGGTTGTTTTCCAAAGAGGCAGTTCTTTGAATGGAAATGAACCGTGGCAGGGGCCTCCGAAGAGGGACCTTGTAGGCAGGGTGTGTTCCAACATCGTTGATGGCTCTTGGGTTTACACTGGTCCTCCTCCTCCTCTTCCCTCTCCTCCTCCTCCTCCTTCTCATCATCATCATCATCATCATCATCATCATCATCATCATCATCATCATGATCATGATCATCAACATCATCATCATCATCATCCTTCTCCTCCCCCTTCTCTCTCTACGCTGAGCTGCTCATCTCCCCCGTCCCTCCTCCTCCTCCTCCTCCTCCTCCTTCTCCTCTTGCTCCTCTCCCCCCCCCCCCCCTCCCCTCACTCCTCCTCCTCCTCCTCCTCCTCCTCCGTAGCCATTTTGGCTCAAGCGATCGCATGGCCGCCGCCTCCCGCCCGCGCGCGATGGCTCGGCCTAGAGGGGCTTCCGCGGCCGCCCTCGGCTCCTCCTTGGTGGAGGCGGCCGTACGCGCCGCGGTCCTCGCGCGCGCCCCACGGCGCACCGTCGCCGCCGTGGCCCGCTCCGCCATCTCCGCCGCCCTGTTCGCGGGCGCGGAGACGCAGGAACCTGGGGCCACGGCTGGCGAGGTGCCTGCTGCTGGTGCGCCTGGAGAACACGCTGCTGGCCCGCGCGCCGCCTCCGCGGCGCGCGTGGAGAGGCGGCGACGCCGCCGCCAGCGCCTGGCGGCGCGGCGGCGTGCGCCCACAGGTGCTGCTGGGACGGGGACGGGCGCGGGCTCGGAGCTCGTGGCCCTTCCCCCTGCTGCTGCTGCCGCTGCTGCTGGCGCGGGCCTTGGGCCCGCTCCGGCCGCCGAGGCCGCGGTGGCCGTCTCGGCCGCGCCCGTCGAGATGCTCGTGGACGATGACGACTTCGACGACGAATGGGCAGACGGCCCCATGAAGGGGGCTAAGGAAGTGGCGCGCCCTGCGGCGGCGGCGGAGCCTGGCGCAGCGGCCGCGGTGGCGGCGGTGCCTGGCGGAGCCGCGGCGGCGGCGGTCCTGGCAGCGGCCGAGGGCGACCGCGTCCGCCTTCCCGATGGGCGGGTCGCCACGATCGCCAGCATCGAGCCCGAGGACGGCCAGCTGCTCGTCCTCTTCGGCGAGGGCCGCCGCGCGATGCACATCCTCGTCGACCTCGACGGCCTGGAGCTCGCGCCTGGCGCGGCCATCACGCCGTGGCCTCCGGGCCCCGGTGGAGGACGTGGAGTCGTTCGGGGAGCTGCGCGCGGGGCCGGCTCCGGAGCGGCGGGGGGAGGGCGATAGTGTCCCGTGGAGGGGCCGTCCTCCCCCTCAACGTCTTCCTCTTCGGCGTCGCGCTCGACGTCGGCATCTTCTTGCTCCTCTTCTGAGGAGGCGGGCCAGGCGGCCGAACCCTGACCTCAGGGCTTGTCTTCTTCTTCTTCTTCTTCTTCTTCCTCCTCCTCCTCCTCCTCCTCCTCCTCCTCCTCCTCCCCCTCCTCCTGCTCCGGCTCCTCCTCCTCCTCCCCTTCCCTCCCCTCCCCCTTCCTCCTCCTCCCCTCCCCAGCCCCCCCCACGCTCCTCTCCTCCCCGTTTGAATCGTGGTGCCAGCGAGTCGCGGCCGCGTGGAGAGCGGGAGCACCAGCGACGCTCGTCCCGGCAGGCTCGAAGGATCGTTCCGCATCGCCGATGCCTTGGCGATGCGGCTCGATGTGGGCCCTGATGTAATTCACGCCAGAATCTCAGAGGAGGAAAAGATACTCATACCGCTGCCCTTCGGCCGTTTTCCCCTTTTCAGGCCTCCTGGGAGTTTCTCATCGCCACCGCTGGGTTCGCCTCGAAATCCTGGTCAGGACGCACCCCGGGAGAGGTCCGGGGAGTAGCGGTATTGGTACCTTTTGGCTTCCCCAGAATCGCCGATGCATCGCCGACGCATCGGCGGTGCATCAGCTATGCGGCGCGATCCGCCGCCCCCATCTACGGTAGGTTCGCGTCGTGTCGACCGGCGGCGACCCCGCCGCCGTCGTTCCATTTTGAACGCCGCCGCCGACCCAGAATCGGTCGATGTTGAACGATCGGACGTCTCGGAAACGGCCGATCTCAAGCAGTGGCGAAGCATCCTGGTTCGCCTATAGGCCTACCAAAGAATGTTCTTCCACGAAATGTTCTTAGAACATTTCGGCTGGGACCGTCTTGGTTTAACATATCGGGCTCATGTTCTAAGAGCACCGTCTTTGTTCTTATTGCAATCCTGGGTCCTAAGAACATGTCGTGGTAGGCCTCCAGAGATGCCGGGACGGTCGGTCCCTGCTCAACGATCGTTCAAGGTCGAACGATCCCCGCGGTGTCAGGAGCTGACGCCGTAGTCGGCACGACACGGACCCGCGGCACTCGAACCCCACTTTTGGGAGGTCTCCAGAGGCTGCGCCGGCGGCGGAGGAGCACCGCGGGGACGGCGGCCGCCGGCGCCGCCCGCGCGGGAGCCGGAACCGAGGCCAGGGGAGTCTTCTTTCTGTTCCCTTGAGATCCTGGCTCCCAGAGATCCAGCGTATCGAAAAAATCAAGACGGAGGCTTTCCGTATTTTTCGGCCTCGAGGGGCCCTCGCCAGGCCCCGGGACAGTCAAAAAACGATTCAGGGTGAAAAGCCGGTCCTGGGGAATGGGTCGAGACTTCCGGGGACCCCACATTGAAAAAATCACGACGCCGGATCTCTGGGCTTGCAGTTTTCTCGAGCACATTTTTTTCATTCGCGGCCAGAACGGGCGTTGTGGGGGGGGGAGGGGGGGGGTGCGCGGGAGGGGGCACAATGTAGCGCCCTCCCCCCCAGACTGGTGCCGAACGCATTGCAGCAGCGCCGGGGACGCACTGAGGGGGGGAGCGTTAAGTTATGGAGGGGGGAGGGGGGGAGGGTAGGGGGCATAACGCGCTTTATGGCCCAGAGGGTAAAAGAAAGACGCTCGCTGCGCAGCGGGCGGTTTCGCCAGAATTTTTAGGGCCCTGTGACCCTCACGTATAGGTCCAGGTCTCCTGTCGTGATTTTCCCGATGTCGCAATTTCTTCGCAACGTCAGATCTCAGGGGCTCTTCCTTCTGTTCTGTGCAGAGTCGGGCCCGCCGTGTGAAGCGCAGGTGAGAAGGAGGTCGAGGAGGAGGAGGAAGAGGAGGAGGAGGAGGAGGAGGAGGGGGGGGGACAAGTTAGGTGCGTTCGCGTCAACATCCGACATCCTACCCCTCCCTCCCATCCCTTACCATGGCGTTGATTTTCTCTATCCGCGGACGCGTGTCATAGCGGACCTGTGGCTCCGCGCGCGTGTGCGTAGTGGGTGGTGGTGCGCGTGCGTGCGTGCGCGTGTGCGTGGTTGTGGTTGTTGTGGTGGTGGTGTGTATGTGTGTGTGTGCGTGTGTGCGCGTGTGCGCGTGTGCTGTGGTGTGACGTGGTGTGGCGTCTTGGTGGTTTGGTGGTGGGCCAGGTGCGTACTTGCGTGATGGCGGTGGTGGTGGTGGTGGTGGTGGTGGTGGCGGTGGTGGTTTGTGTGTGTGTGCGTGTGTGTGTGTGTGTGTGTGTGTGTGTGTGTGTGTGTGTGTGTGCGTGTGTATGTGTGTGTGTGTGCGTGCGTGCGTGCTGTGTGTGTTTCTGTTTGTGCGCGCGTGTGATGTGGTGTGACGGCGTGGTAGCGTGGGGTGGTGGTGGGTGGGTAGTGCAGTGGTGGTGCGGTGCGCGGTGTGGTGCGCGTGCTGCGTGCGTGCGTTGGTGGTGGAAGTGGCGGTGGTGTGCGTGCGCCGGGGCGGGACGTGTGCTGCGCGGTGGTTCGGCGGATGGGCGGCAAAAAGAGGCCCGCGCTGGGGCGAGAACGCCATCTGAACGACGGAGGCAAAACACCGATCCGAAAATGAGGCCCCGCTGCAGCGGGAGCCCGATTCGGAACGATTCGGGAGCAGAAATGAGGCCGGCGCCTTAGCGAGAGCAGCATTTTGGGGGAAAAAATAAAAAACGCAGCGAAACCCCGTTTCCCGGGTATCCTGTGTGTAAAAAAAACGAATCCGCGGGGGGGGTGTCGGATATCTTCGGGACGCCATCAGGGGAAGTGGGAGAGTATTTTCATATTGTGTAATTGTGAAGGAGGAACAGCAGTGGCGGCGGCAGCAGCAGGTTGCAGGAGGAGGAAATGACAGCAGGGAGACAGTTTCCCCTTCCAAGGAGGAGAAGATACCGGCGCCGCTGCTCTTCCTGGAGAGCCATCGTCGCTACGGCTGAATTCTCGTCGAAATTCTGGCCATGCATCCCGGGGTATCGTTCTTGGTTGTTCACGCACCAGCGCCGCCCGCTCGGGGGCCTGGAACCGAAGCCAGGAGACGTCGGATGAGGAAAGTCTTGAGATCCGGCCGGGAAAATGCCGCAGAAAAGCGTGTCCAGGGCAACGTCGGATAGCGGACAAGGTACTGATGCCGCAACCGTGGGCTCGTCCTCGCCTCTTTCGGGCCTCCTGGGAGGTCCTCGTCGCCACGGCTGGGTTCGCCTCGAACATCTGATCAGGACCGACCCGGGGCGAGGTCCGGAGAGTAGCGGTATCGGCAACTCTAGGTTTCCCCAAGGCCCTTCCTGTCGAAGATCGGAGATTCGTACAGGGGGGGCGGTATGCCAAGGTGGGGCTCGGGAGCGAACCCACAAATGGATGGTCACACGTCCTTCCTCCAGTGGACGTTTACCACGACGTTCCTATGACACATCCCTGCCCCTACCCCACCTTGACGCCCCGCCTCCTCAGAGGAAAAGCAACCAGAACACACGAAAGCATGAATCTGGCGCGACCCCAACGGAGGGAAATCTTCCTAAGCTAGTAGCAAATCAAGGAACGCACTGCATGCGTTTTTTTCGCGTGGCTTTGTTTTTCACTATTTTGCATTGCATTGCATTGCTCGGCGTAGCTTGGCATTGCTGGGCGTTGTCTGGCATTGCTTGGCATTTCTCTGCATTACTTTGTAGTGCATTGCTCTGCGTTGCTTGCCGTGGCTCGGCGTTGCCTGGCATCTCTTCCCTCGCCCTCGCGTGACCTGCTTTTCAGCCGCGGGGTCCTGCAGAAGCTGTCCAAACTCGGTGCTGCTTTCCGGGTGGAGGAACTCCCCCGCGCGTGTTGCAGATTCGCAGAAGTTTGGACGGTGGCGCTTGCTTCACCGTATCGGCCTGTGTCAGAAGGGTGTCTCACGCGTGGACCACTTCATCCAAATTTGGCAGCCCAACGCGCTACTGCCCGGCGTGCCAGTGCGATGCGCTCGCTCCTTCGGTGGGCACGCCTCCTGCTCTGTCCCCCGAGCGGTGCTAGCGCCCTGGCCCGCGCGCGCCAGGCGCTCGGTGGGGGACCCTCGGGCACGTGTCGTGCTAGAACGTATTTTGCCGCGTGGGGAAGGGGGGGGGATGAGTTGTCCGCATCGCCGCTGGGGCGGACGACCTGCGGGCAGCTGTAACACCCCGCGCGGCCCTTTATCACCTGCCACGACGTGGTGCTGGCCACGAAGGCGCGGCTGCACCCGCAGACTCGCCCGTGCGCTGCGGCCTGCTCCGCTGGTGAGCACACCTCGTGGGCTGCCGCTCCGTGGGCGCTTGGGCCCTGGGCCGCGTGCGTCGGGATTTCCCTCGAGGGGCACCGGTCTCTTCCCGTCCCCTGCTCTCGACCGGCCTGCCCCCTCGCGCGTGGCGGGGCCACTGCTCAGGACAGAGCCTGCAGCGCCGCGCGCGTCGGTTGTTGCGGGTGGGGCTACAATCAGGAGGTCCTGTGCCACGGTCACAGTGCGGCGCTAGGGGGTGGATGGGGGGGGCACCGCACGACAGTTTGCACGGTTTGGCCGGCGGGGGCAAGCAGACGAAGCATGTCAGACGACGCAGCAGCAAGAAGCACGCAGCAAGAACATATACCTTATGATGGAAGATGAGGATGATTCTGAAGCTGAGTAGAATAGTGCGCAGTCGTCCGTCCGGAGGGGCTTAACCTCCTCCCGCCACTACCTCCTTACCGGCCTTACGACCTCCCCCTCACGCCTGCCTCAGACTCCCCACCACTACTTCCCAATCCGCCCTCGCCCTCCTCTTCCTCCGTCCTCCTGTCCTCATCCTCATTCTCTTGCTCCTCGCCCCCCTTTGCCTTTCCTATTCCTCCTCCTTCTCCCCTGTCTGCTCTCATCCTCCTGCTCCTCCTTTCCTGTTTTGCCTGCCAGCCTTTGCGTGGGCACAGTGCGCCGATGATGCTGGCGGGCCATCCACCCTGCGCCTTGTGGGGCTACCTCCGCCTCATACGCCACGCGCGCTCTGGTCGGCTGCGGCGGGGGCATCAGGCGGCCTGGGCCGGCGCCATGATGGTTGTGTGGCGCACCTGTGCGGCCCCAGCGGCGGGTGCTCCTGCGCCTGCTGCTTCGCCTGAGCGAGGTGCGGTCGGTGTCCCTGGACCTGTTCCTCAGACACCGCCCAACCTCGCGAACATGTCGGAGCCAGAGCTGCGCGAGTGCGATGAGGAGGGCCAGCGGTATGAATGCTGGCCTCGGTCAAGTTGTTCAACCTTCAGCTGCTCGCTGATGACGCCGAGTCCGTTCTGTCTGAGGTTCAGGACGAAGCCAAGCACCAGATGGAGTTGGAAGCCCTCAAGAAAAGGAGCGTGGACCATGGCTTATCCCCAGGGGAGCTCGGTGCCATGGAGCGCCTCATGCAGAAGAGCGCGAAGGTCAAGGCCCAGAAGAGGATCCGCACCTTGCGGGACACGGCCCAGAGTTTCTTCGAGCGCGTCATGGCCCAGATGCACCCTGTCGCTGGCGCTCCTGCGGCTGTTCCCCCTCCGGTACACGTACAACTCCCTGTCCCTCGCGAGGCCGATGAGGCTGCCGCCGGCGATGCAGAAGGTGGCGGTCTACTGGCTCCGGGGCGCCCGAGATGGCCAGCAGGAGGGGCAACATGAAGCTCGATAACCGTGAGAATGATGAGGTATCCTTGCTTTTTTGTAACATCACCAGTTGGAATCAAGGGACATTGGATTTCTTGCACGTGGTTAGACCGATATGTGACGGCTTTTTCGTATGCTGAGCGTCATTTTCGGCTCTGCGAGCTTTCCCGCATCCGACGCAATGCCTCCCAGATCGGTTGGAGCCCTATTTAGTTCCCGCTCTTCCTTCCCCTGAAGGGGGCACCTGTGAGGGTGTCGGATGCTGTGTCTCCAAGGGCCTCCGCTGTAGGCGTTTCTTGGCCAGGTCTGGGCTTAAAGATCTGGGCGTGGGCCCCACGTGGATGTTTCTCAAACTTTGGACACAAACCTGAGTCATTGCTATAGGTGTGCTAAATTTGATGTATGAGTTGGGCTTCTCGGGGGCCAACATCGAACGGATGCGGTCGGTTGCGGAGTTCGTGGGGGCCCTCGCGATACCATGGATGCTCTTTGGGGAGTGCAATATTCCTGCTCCCGACATGGACTTCGCTGGCTTCCCACGACTTGCCTCAGCCCGTGTGATAACACCTGATCGAGTGGACGCCACGTGTATCGAAGGTAGGGGGCTCACTTCTTGATTGTGTCTCGATGTCTCGTGATATTGGGGATATTATGGTACCCTGAAGCCATATTGCCCGAGCCCCTTCAAGACCCACCTGTGCTGGGCTCCCACCTTGAAGCACCAGGCTCTACACCACATGATGTGGCAACGGCTTTTCGACCTCCGAAACATCCTCCTCGCTACGGCCCCGGCTTGCCGTGGGATCGCTCTTGGTGGCTCTTGTGGAGGACCCGGGCCCGTGCGAAGTGCCGCAATACCAAGGGCTCCCACGAGGGCGCGAAGTTATTCGTGCTTCGCGCTTCGCGGTCCTCGTTCGTTACCTATTCGATGTTATGGTCTCACACGTGCAAGATTTCTCGAGCTCGTCGCTCACTTGTATGTGTTGGCTCTGGTCCAGGGCGACCGAGGCCATCCTGGAGTCGCGTGCGGTCGCATGCGATCAGTCTCCCAGCTTGTTGCATTGTGGAGACTTCGTTGCTTTCCGTAAAACTACCATTGTTCGGAGGGGTCCTGAGGGCCAAAGTTTTCGGGAACCTGGGTTGGCTTTCTGGTCCCGAGTGTTCCAAACATGGCTTGAATGCCGCCTGCATCGTGCCAAGAAGTCCCTGCGCATGCTTGTAGGCATAGGCCCCCAGTTTACGGATCTTTTGCAGAGAGTTTCAGTGCACTTGCGAGCCGATTGTCCCCGACTACTTGCTTGGTGGCTTGCCGTCGTTGGCCTGCTCGGAGGCGGCGAAGGACATCCTCCCGCCGAGCTCGACTATGCTGCGCTTGACGGGGTGTTCGGCGCCATCTCTGCTGAACTCGCCGCGTCCTGGTCGGCGGCGCGTAAGAGGTCCAAGGAGGGGTTGAAACTTTGGTTGGAAAAGGCCCTTTCCCAAGTGGGCCAAACGTATGCATTCATGATTGAAACATGATATTACTGATACCCCACTCTCCTGGCATCTCCTTAAGGGATGCAGTAGTCCCCATGTGATATGATGAACGGCCGCCAAAGTTGTTGGGGCCGTGTTTGGAAAGACCTTGGTTCCCGCGCCACTGTCTCAGGTGTCCGTGGTGCTCTCCGCCCTAGAGCCCTTTTGCACGCAGAGGGGTTGGGGCCTTTCGCTGTGTTGGACGTCCAGCGAGGAGCGAGGCTCTTTCATCTCCTCAATCAGTGCGAGCTGACCATGACGTGGCCACCCCAGGTTCTTCTGAGTGTTATTGCGCTCCTGCCCAAGCGCGTTGCATGTGAAAGACCTGTGTGTGCACGTCCCACCCTTTACCGCGTGCACCGTAAAGCTCGGAACCAGGACCGCGGTATATGGAGTGCTGATCGGTTGAACTTTTCGGACACCGCTGTGCAAGGCCCGAGTGCCTTCCAGGAAGTCCGGTTGCGAGAGCTCGGTCAAGAGGTCGCTCGCGCGCTCGGGCTCTGCTCCGTGGGCGCCCACTGGGACCTCGCGCGCTTCTTTGATGCTTTCGACCCTCGCAAGCTGATTGAGCTTGCTGTCAAGATGGGCTATCCTATCCACCTCCTGTACTTGGGCATCCTCATCCACGCGTCTCCTGGGGTGCTGAGGGTGGGGGGTGGGTGGGGGCGTGTGTGTGTGTGTGGGCGTTTCTGATATCATGTAAAGCCAGAAAGGAACACTTGCGAGGTGTATGCAGGCGGCGGCATGGGCCAAGATCTGTGTGCACGACATGTTTGCTTGTGCGCATGCTCTCTGCATCCCTGCTCGCGTCAAGACACATGCTGATGGCGTCGCCCACTCTCAGCGCGGCGCGCCGAGCGAGATTCTCTCGAGATTGGTGCTTGCCGCCGTGCAGTTGGCGCGCCAGCTATCCGGTTTGGGGCGCATTATTTCAGCCAGGTCTGCTCTCGTGTGTACGGTAGGTTTGCGTCGTGTCGACCCGCGGCGACCCCAGCGCGGGCGTTCAAGGTTGAACGCCGCCGGCGATCCAGAATCGGTCGATGTTGAACGATTGGACGTTGCGGGAACGGCCGATCGTTCAAGGTTGAACGATCCCTGCGGTGTCAAAAACCAACGCTGGGGTCGGCACGACACGAACTTGCCGTAGTCATGCTGGCCTGGGCCGTCAGCTAACAGACATGTTCCAGCCTACTGGTCCGCCCATCAAGCTGCAGGCAAGCGTCGGCAAACTGCGGGGATGGTTCAAGCGCGCGCGTCGGCCGCCAAGAAAACCAAGAGCGCGGTTGTCCCTGGTGGAATTGTCGGAAGTGCTAGGAAGTTGAACAAACCCGGGATCCTTGCTGTCGGGTCTTTGGGTCACCCGGCTTTTGGGTTTACCTTTGGGCGCATTCGGGCTATGAGGGCCCAGGCGGCCAGGTGCTCTGGGCGGCGGGCCCCAGGGGCCTGCGCCGCAACGGTCCTCGGGTTAGTTAGTCCTGCGAGAGATAACCCCCAGTTTAGGTTTCGGTATGCACAACTCGTTGCCTTTCACGATGTCTGGGGGGCTCTAGATCACAAGCAGAGGATGGAAGTTGCGCAGCGTTGGCAACGGAGTCTTGGCATCCTGCGTGGTACTAAGCATCGGTGGCTTAAAGTTCGGGGTCCTTTGGCTGCTTCCATCTCGGTCCCCTTGGGTTTAGGTGCGGATCCCAAGAACCCCGTCCTCTGGGTTTTCCCCGAAAGCACGGCGCTGCGCCCGACGGGTGGCGATTCCCCGCGCGCGCCCTGGGCGACCTTTCAGAAGCATTGCGCGACCACGTCTTGGAGCGCGGCCTCCAATGATTATTTAGGGAAGGTGTTGGAAGGAGGAGCTGATTTCACGGCCCTCAGGAGGTCGTTGAAAACAACTTGAGCAAGAAGGGGCCTTAGAGGCCGCTGGGATGCTTCGCAATGTAATGACTGCTGGTTTTTGGACGGATGATATGCTTCTTCAAACAGGTTACGGCTCTGCCAGCCGTGGCTTGTGGCTTAGATGTGGGTTTGCTCCCGGGGCCGCAGTTCATCGTTTGTGGCAGTGTCGATGCGATGACGATTTGGTCGATTCGGTGATGGGCCAATCGGAATCTCTCAAAACTGAAGTCATCCACCCTGATTCGTCCTCCTCGTTGCGGTGTCGCGGCATGCCGCTTCTCCGCGATGCCGTTGGGCATCTCCCAGACCCGCCATCGTGGGTTTGGGGAGGCTGTGGGACGGGGCCAAGATAAGGGATGGCGCGTGGGGGGTGGATGGCTCTGGCGGGAAAGATATCTATATCTATATATATATATATAGATATGAAAGACTGGCGTCTCCGTCGCTGCGGCTGTTCTGTAGTCCACCAGGGTGCCGCCCGCTTGTTTGACGGAGTTGCTTGCGGCGCCCTCCCCACTAAAGTGCAAACTTCTGGGCGTGCTGAGTTATGTGCCCTTATTGAACTGCTACAAAGAAGCTGGGGAGATGTGGTGGTCGATTCCGGTTGTTTGCCTGTGGTTCGTGGGTTGCGTGAGACGTTGAGGCAAAAGTGTAAGTCTTCGATGCTGGGCCTCTGGAGATCCTTTCACGAGACCCCGGGGGCCCGCAATGGACCCGTGGAAGTTCGATGCTCCTGCTCCTTCTCCTCTTCCTCCTCCTCCGCCTCCTCCTCCTCCTCACCGTCCTCTCCCCCCTCCTGCTCCCCCTCCTCATTTTCCTCCTCCTCTTCCTCCTGCTCCTCCTCCTGCTCCTCCTCCTCCTCATCCTCTTCCTCCTCCTCCTCCTCCATTCCTTTTTCTTATACATCACTTTTCCCTGTCGCACCCCGATGCCAGTTTTTAGGGCGGGCCAGGCGTTTCGCTTGAGACCTTCCTCACCACTTATGACCTTGAAGCTTTAACATAGGCAACAGTGTCACATATGGAGGGCGGGTGATTTTCAAAGTGTTGCTCTCGCCTCAGCGCCGCGCCTATTTTTGTTCAGAATTAGAACGAGCTTCACGGATTGAGGGCGGGTCGTTTTCAAATTGTGGCCCTCGCCCTGGCGCCGCGCGCATTCTTTTCTAAACATTTGCATGAGTTCCACGGGTTGAGGGCAGGTGGTTTTCAAAATGTGGTTTTCGCCTTGGCGTTGCGCACATTCGTTTTAAACAAGTGCAACAGTTTCACTGATTGAGGACGGGCCGTTTTCAAAAACTGGTTTTCGCCTCAGCGCCGCGCTCATTCGTTGATACATTTTGCAAGAGCTTCGCGGATTGAAAGCGGGTCGTTTTCAAAATGTGGCTCTCGCATTCGCGCCGCGCACATTCGCTCATAATGTTTGGAAGAGTCTCACGGATTCCCATGATCAACGTACCAGGAAAAGCGTGTTTTGGAAAGGATTCCAGATAATGCGGGTGCAGCCGTTATATTGGTTCGCGGTGTTGAAGTCCCCAAAATGACGTTCTGGCGCGATTCTGGATTGGCAATGCGCAACAGTCAGGTTGATCCGTGGCGTTGAAATCCCGAGAATGTTTTGGCATGCTTCAGGGTCTTCAAACGGTTGTCTTCCAACGAGGCAGCTCCCTCAATGGACATGGTTCAGAGGGAGATAGGAGGAAAGGTTAATTCCAACATCGTTGATGACTCTTGGGTTTACACTGGTGCTCCTCATCCTCCTCCTCCAGCTCCTGCTCCTCCTCCTCCTCCTCCTCCTCCTCCCCCTCCTCCTCCTCCTCCTCCTCCTCCTCCTCCTCCTCCTCCTCCTCCTCCTCCTCCTCCTCCTCCTCCTCTTCCTCACTTATCCCCCTCCTCCTCCTCCTCCTCCTCACTCCTCCTCTTCCTCCTCCTCCTCCTCTGCCTCTTCCTCCTCTTCCTTCATCTCCTCGCCCCCCTCCATCCTCCTCTTCTTCCTCCTCCTCTCTCTCCTCCTCCCTCACCTCCTTCTCCTCCTCCTTCCTCCCCTCCTCCCTCGCTCCTACTCCTCACGCCTCCTCCTCTAATCTCCTTCTCCTCCTCCTCTCCTCCTACTCCTCCTCCTCCTTCTCTTCCCTGCTCCTCCTCTATGCGCCTCCTTCCTCCTGCTCTCCTCCCTGCTCCTCCTCCCTGCTCCTCCTCCTTCCTCCTCCTCCCTCATCCTCCTCCTCCTCCTCCTTGCTGCGGCCCTCGACCCTCGAGCCCCCCGCAGGCCGCCTCGGCACGGGGAGCCCCGGGCGCTCGCCGGCGCCCGACGGGCCAGGCGCGGCACGGCGGCGCAGCGGGCCCGTGCAGGCGCTGCGGGGCTCGAGCAACCTGCTATTGATCCTGCTCCTGCTATTGATCCTGCTCGTCCTCCTCCTCCCGCTCCTGCTATTGATCCTGCTCGTCCTCCTCCTCCTCCTACCGTCATCCTCGCTCTCCTCATCTCACTTCCTCCTCCTCTGGTCTCACCTCCTTTTCCTCTCCTCTGCCTACCTCCTCCTCCTCCTCCTCCTCCTCGTCCTCCTCCGCAATTTCTCCCCCTCCCTCTCCTCCTCCTCCTCCTCCCCTCTCCTCCTATCCTCTCCTCTGCTACCGCCTCCTCCTCCTTCCTCCTCCTTTCCTTCTCCTCCTCACTCCATCCTTCTCCTCCTCACTTCCTCATCCTCCTATTCTTCCTCCTCATTCCTCCTTCATGCGGCTCCTCCTCCTTCCTCTCCTCGTTCTCTTCTTCCTACTCCTCATCCTCCTCCCTTCTTCCTCTTCTCACTTTCCTCCTCCATATCGTCCGTATCCTCCTCCTCATCCCTCCTCCTCTCCTGCCCCCTCCTCCTCACCACTCCTCCTCTTCCTTCTCATCATCCTTTCTCTCCTCCTCTCCTTCTCCTCACCTCCCTCCTCCATCCCCCTTCCTCTCCTCCTCATCCTCCTCCTCCTTCTTCCTGCTCCTGCTCCTCCTCCTGCTCCTGCTCCTCCTCCCCCTCCTCCGTCGCCTCCTCCTCCGCCTCCTCCTCCCTTTCTTCTCCTCCTCCTCCTCCTCCTTCCCCTCCTTCTCCTCCCTCCCTGCTTCTCCTCCTCCTCCTCCTCTTCTTCTTCCTCTTTCTCCTCCTCCTTCCCCTCCACAGGGCCCGTTGCAACCTCACTCAGAGCCCCGACTCATCAGGGCTTGGGGCAGTAAGGGGTAGCTGCAGATTTGCAACCCAGATGATTCGGGCGTCCAACCCACCATCGGAGGCAACGATCAGGGGCATCGACAGGGGGGGATCGGCTCAGGGGGGACCCAGAGATCCGACGTTCCCCAAAATTTGGAGCGGCGGGGTTTGGTAATTTTCGGCCCCCAGGGGCCTTCGCTGAGCCTCTGGACCGCCACACAACGATTCAGGACGAAACATTTGTCCTGGGGAAGTGGTCCAGACTCTAGACCTCTAGGGCCCGTGCATCGAAACATGATCGACCCACGAATTCGGAAAGGGATTGAGAACTGCGAGGCATGGAACCGCTTCTCAGGACCTCAATTGCACATGCAGCTGGGCGATGCCTTGGGGACATGCCAGGGGGACGCGCCGCGGAACGTCCCAAGGGACGC